CTAGCTCTTCCTCACCTTCCCTGAAGCCAGAAGAGCTTTCCAAATCTTCTTGTCCATCATACTCCCTGCTCCCCAGTCAATTTTGGTTTCACAGAATCACAGGGTGGTTTCTGTGGGAAAGGACCTTAAAGACCCTCTCATTCTACCCCCTGCCATGGGCAAAGACACCTTCCATAGACCAGGTATGCCCCTGAAACAGAACCCTCCCTGTGCAACCAGTATTCGAAGTCTCCCCCTTTTTCTTCACTCCACCATCAAGGCAATTCCAGCTGCTGCCTGTGCTCTGCCCTACTCCCCTCCAGCCCTGCTGCCACTGCTCACCTGCACAGGTGGCAGTAGGTCACCCACGCCTCCACATGTCAAATCTCCTTGAGGGATACATTGCATTTCTCTGTCCCTCTGCATCGCCCACCAAAGGCACCCACATCCTTGAGCAAAAACAATCCCACAGATAGGTTTGTCTTTGCCTGAGATAGAATGGATCCAAACTTACTTCCTCAACAGGTTCTTTCTTCACATGCACCATAGGGACTTTATGCCCTTCTACAGTACATAGAGGTTTTGACTGGGCAGGGCCAGCTCGATTGGTGGACCTTCCGTCATTAATTGACAATGTGGCCTTCACTAAACATAGATCCCAGTGTTTGAAGGTCCCACTACCCATTGATTTCAATGTAGTTTTAAACAGTGCATTGCACCGTTCCATTTTTCCAGGGGATGGTGCATGACAGGGAATATGGTATACCCACTCAATATCTTGTATTGTTAAGGTATAACACCTTGGTCAGTGTTAATAAGCCCAGTTCCTCTGAACCTTTAACAGAGCCCAGGTGTTTATAAGGATATTTTTGAAATTAGTCCCACTGTCTGACTCCATTCTGACAGGATTAGTTTTTCAAGGGTCAAAATGGTGTTCCAGGCAGTGGTGTAAAGCCTGGGGTATGTCTCCAGCTACCCAGTCATGCCTCCTACCATTGCCAGCACATAATGCTTGCCTTGGCAGTGAGCTTGCAGCAGTGTGATGCAATCGATCTGCCAGGCTTCCCCATACTCACATTGACCACCACCCCCTGACCACAGGAGCTTTTTAACCACTTGGCCTGCTTGATCACAGCACACTTTTCACAGTCATGGACTACCCAGGTTATAGTGTCCATAGTTAAGTCCACCCCTTAATCATGAGGCCATGTTGCATCTCTGCCTTGATGGCCTGAGGTATTATGGGCCCACTGAGCCAGAAATAGTGTACCCTTATGCTGCTAGCCCAGACTTACCTGAGACACTTTAATCTTGGCAGCTCAATCCACCTGCCCATTGTTGCAACACTCCTCAGTGCCTGACTCTTAAGGACACGTGCATCCACATGATGGACTCTGACAGCCAACTCCTCTGCCCAGGTACCGATGTCTCACCACAGTTCAGCAGCCCAGGTGGGCTTCTCTCTGTGCTGCTAGTTGGTCTTTCTCCATCGTTCCAGGCTGCCCCACAGTCATTGTAGAGATAGTGTTGGCCATTTCTCTCACTCAGCAACATCCAAAGTGAGCTGAAAAGATTTCAACTCTGCAACCTGATTTGATCCACCTTGTCCCTCAATACCTTCTGCCACTCGCCGTGCAGGGCCCCGTACAGCAACTTCCCGTGTTCAGTGCATCCCTGCAATAAGGCAGGGACTGTCAGTGAACAGAGCACACTGCTGCTCATTTTCAGATGGCTGGTTATATGGGTGGGGCCTCCTCAGCACATGTCACCTTCTCCTCCTCCTCTTCTGATGGCAGTCTGAAATTTTCACCTTAGGGCCAGTTTGTGATGATTTTCAAGATCCATGGGGTACTGGGGTTTCCCATCCAAGCCCGCTGTGTGATCAGACCAATCCACTTACTCCAGGTAACATCAGTGGCATGATGTATGGCAGAGACTTTCTCTTTGAACACCCAGCCCAGCACTGACAGTTGGGATGCCAGAAGAAGCAGTGCTTCAGTGCGAGTCACTTCTGAAGCAGATCAAACCTCTTAACAAACTGCAAGTATCTCTTTTTCATTTGGGGTGTAACAGGCCTCAGATCTTCTGCATACTTGGCTCCAGAACTGCGGGGATTGTCCTCAAGTCTCCCCAGGTACCTTCTGCCTGGGGCTCCAGAAGGACCATTCTTCCTGGCTGTAGTGTATAGCACATTTTTGTCACTCTGTCCTGTCCTGACTGGACCAAGGACTACTGAATCAACAATCTCCTGTTTAATTTGTTTCAAGGCTTCTTGTTCTTCAAGACCCCCCACTTTAAATAATTCTTCTCCCATGTCACATGATGAGAGGGCTGACAATCTGACTGTACTCTGAAATATGCATCCTCCAAAAACCCATAGCTCCTGGGAAAGCCTGTGTCTCCTCCTTGTTGGCTGGTGGAGACAAAGCAGGTGGTTTTTTGGCTACATCCATTGGAATCTGACATCTTTGAGACAATACCTTTCCCTCACACTTGATGGAGCCACCTCCAGAGATGAGAGTTTCTGTCTTCTTCCCAATTCCCTTGTGTCTTGGTTTGAAAGACAGGTCTTCTAAGGAAGGCAGGAGCCTCCATTGAAATGGAATATATGACTCCCTTCCCTCCAAATTATTAAGGGGCTTTCAGACAAAGCGATGGGAGAAGGAGCAGCAGCTCTTGACGAGTATGTGCAGCAAGGCCAACAACAGCAGCTGTGGCATTAGCCACGAGCAGCCGCAGAGACTCAGACCCAGCGTTCTCTCGGCCGCCGGCCATTTCCCCTCTGTGCAGTTCCGGGCGCGGCCTCCAGGGGCGCTGCTGGCTCCGGGCCGGGCGGCTGCGGCGCTCCCCCGCGCCGGCAGGGGGCGCTGTGCCCGGGAGCGGGTGGCGATGGCGGCCGGGCCGGGCCGGGCCGGGGTGGACAAAGGGGCGGCCGCTCCCAGGGCCCCAGCACAGCTCTGGGAAGAGCAAGGTGAATGGCAGGAATGAGCAAAAACATCCCCAGGGAGTAGACGAGATGCACTGAACTCTGCAGCTGTAGCTGGAACCATGGGGCGTCCTGGCAGGGCAGGGGGTGCAGGTTACAGTGCCATGAAAACTCGGAGCAGTGGTAAAAGAATGGTGAGGGTGGGGCTGTGGCAGCCCAGCTCTGGAGCAGATGGTGAAAGCCCTTTATTCAGTTGATAAGGTCATGGTTCAGTGCCTGCTATCCCAAGCAAAAGGCTAACCCCACAGCAGAAAAAGCAGGACTGGGCTGGGCTCTAGCAGTGGCAGCGAATTCCCTCTCACAAGCAGCAACTCCTACCTCTCCAAGCAAAGAGAGAGAGAGAAGGGGAGAGAACTAGTGGCTGCCCCTTCTCTTAGAGCTCTTAAAGCTCCATCTTTTACCAGCCCAATTTTCTTGGTATCTCAGCCCCTCTGAGAGATACCTCAGATAAGAGGCGTGCAGCCAGATGCTCTCCTCCCCGAGCTTGGTCACTTCTCCTACCCGGTCACTTCTTTTACCCAGTCGTTCTTGTTTCCTATCAACTTACAGGACTAAATTCTGCAGGGGAAAAAACCCGAAAATATCCTAACCCCCAACACGTTGTCAGTGCCTACACCCTGAACAGGGATCCCAGTTCCTTGGTTTCACTACCACTTAGTTCCAGGTCATGGGCCGCGATATCCCAGCACTGGAGCAGTCAGGTCGCCAGGGGCTCTCCTGACTGGCAGCTGAAGTTGTTTTGGATATCCCACAACTCACACGGAGACAGGGACTGTGTGATTGTCTCTAGCCCTGCCTCTTCCAGAATATTAATAACACAAGTGTACAAAAGAGAGAGCGAGACACATGCCAAAATGCTCACCCAGAGGTCAGAGCTCACCACCCCACTTCCTGGGCCTTGGAACCAGCATTACCCCAGGATCCTGTGCACCACACTCTGTCCCCCACAGTTACTCAGCTAGAAGGAAACACTTGTTCCCACAAGAGACTCTCTTCTCCTGGCCCAGCAATAGGATGAGGTTGTATAGAATAACCTCTGGGTCCTGGCCACACACCTCCTGGCTACTGCAGAAATTAACCTTGTCCTGGTTGGAACCAGGATACAAGCCAAGCAACCTCAACTGCTCCACATCATGTGAAAATTTAATCCAAGAGAGTCCAGTGCATCCCTTTGCAGAATGGCATAATACATAAATTCTCATTGCAATGAAAAAAACCCACATTTATTCCTGGATGAACTTACCTAAGAAAATTAATTTATGGCCTCTGAAACCTCTTAAGTTTAGCACAAAGCAGCCCATAGTATATGGATTGTTCTTGGATACTATCACAAGCAATACTTCAATTTAAAGCAAATAGCTGCCAGACTCCTGCTGTGTCCCACACACCTTACATTGCTCCCTCACTGGAACAAAAGCTATTCCAAACTATTTTCTTTTACATACAGATAGAGCCTTCTGAGATGTCAATGGAACCTATACTTCTACCCCAGAAAAGAGGCACCTGTAAAGCACAGTGACTAGGACAGGCACTCTTTAGACTTCAGAATATTAAATCAGGGCACTGAATGTGCCCAGCTGAAGTGTGTTGTCATTTGCAAAAGATCTGCATCCTTAGTGAAACAGCAAATTTAGGAGCTCGGCTGAAAGAGCCAGGCACTGCAGACAGGATGGAGCACATGACCTGCCCCATCAGCTCCACCCATGTGCTTCTCCTGCTGTTTTGTAAAATCACTGAGGCTGTAAATTTATTTTAAAATGTCTAGGTCGGTTAACACAAGTTGAGCAGAGCCTTCTGAGAAATTCTGCTACAGAACATCACCTCTTTCTGAGACAAGTCCCAGTGCAGATCATGCAGGGAACAGAAGACCTTCTGGTAAAAATAGTTGTCACTTGTCCATGATGTAATTTTTTAAGATTAAAAAAGCTTACTAAGTTAAATTATCATCTCCAACAACCCTAAAGAACAAGACAGGGCATTCAGATTAGCTTAGAAGGTTTCTCGAATTTTATCTGCAAAAACCTTTGGCACTTACTGTCCATTCTCCAGATCCTTTACGTGGCACACAGATGCTTCTACCACATCCTTTGGGTTGTGGTAGGGGTTGCTGGCAATTGGATGCTCCTCAAGGTGGTAGTGCCGGGCAGTCCCATTGACTTTGTAGATCAGAGGGCTGGCTTTCCCATTGGGTGACATCTCCTCCTTGCTTCTCTCCTTCTCAGGTATCACAACTTCAATTTTCACTTCAACTGCAGGAATAACCCAAATCCTTTGTTAAAATGAAGCCAAAGGTTTTGCTGCTGTTCACTGTTCTATCACTCCTTCCTTCCCTGAACTTGGAAACAGACATCAAAACAGGTATTTTTTGTTGGCTTGACTTGGAAGATAAAACATTTAACATCAAGCTTGGCTTGATGACCTGAGCCCATTATTCCTCCATTCTTTCTGCATCAGGCACTTTGCATTCATAAAGTACATATTCTTGAAAGCAGACATGCTTATTATTGAAAGCAAAACAACCTCTCAGTTACAGTTCTTGTCCTGTTTAGTGGGAAACAGCTTCAGGCAGCTCCATATGAGGCATGCTAAGGTCTCTGGGGCTCAGACAGACTTCAAAAACCCCTTTAGTTGTTTGTAGGTAATGTTAACTGAAAGAGAAAGCCAACACTGCATGGTGCATAAAACTGCTTCATTAGATGGAGACCAATTAATAAGGAACTAGAAATATCCAAAATTATTTCCACATGAGGTTTTGAGTGTGGAGTGACTCTTCAACAGTAGGTGAGAGAAGCAAGGATAGTCTATTTTCTCAGGTGTGCACCAGTGAACAGGTCTGACATTAAATCATCCCTGTTCTGGTGACCAGAAGACCCAGAGACACGTGGGAGCAGGGACTGTGGGGAGCAAAGGTGCTCTTCTAAGCCACCCAGGTGAGGACATGCAGAAGTTACTGTGCGGGTGGTGAGGCCCTGGCATGGGTTTGCTCAGAGAAGTTGTGCCTGCCCCTGGAAGTGTCCAAGGCCAGGTTAGACAGGGCTTGGAACAACCTGGGACAATGGAAGGTGTCCCTGCCTATGGCAGGGAGTGGAACTGGATGAGCTTTGAGACCTTCTCCAGCCCAAAACATTCTGTCCTGTGTTAATATGAGCTCCCTGAAGGCAGTGCTCACCCAGCCCCTGCCACAGGCCCACCCAGCTACACCCCTATGTTCCACTGGGCTGACCAAGCTGGTCACAGCAGCATCAGAAGCCACTGATGAGCTCTCACATCACAAAGTGGAAAACATCACTTTATCTCCCAGGGACTTCATCAAGCTAAAGCCATTAATATAATAATAAATGCCCGGGAGTTCTATAGCAAGCCAGGGGAAAGTGCTGGACACTGGTGAAGTGACTCAAGTACATGAGAAATCATTGAGCTTCCCTCATCTTATAAATGTCATGAACAGGAAAATCTGTGTAGAAGATAAAAGTTGAAGCCCAAACTAAACAGGTAAGGAAAGGCAGAGGAAGGGAAGCCTTTCAGCAAGGCTTGTGAATGATAGGGATGCTGGGTCTTCCCAGCCTCAACTGCTGTCCCAAGCATTTTATTGCAAGAATATTGAGAGAACAATGGAAGAACAAGTCAGGGAGAAAGTCGTTCATTTTGGAAGGGAGAAAAGGGAGTGGCCATGGCCATTCATGCCCTGGAGGCAGGCAGCTGTCTCAGGAGTCCTTCACGTTTCTGCTGTTTGTGCCTGCTCAGCAAGACAAGGGATGCATGGCTTTTTGCCAAAGTGCCAAATCCCTGTGCTCACCTGTGTATGATTCACCAAGGGTAGTGACAGACAGATCCAGGAAAGTGATTTTCTGTGTATGAATGCTGAACCAACAGAAAGCACCACCTTCTGCTGTGCTCTTGCAGCTGCAGGAGTTAATGCAAATGAATAGGTCTTGCACCATAAATTAAAAACCCCACATTGCTATGAGAAAATCTGTTCCTAGAACTCTAGAGAAGCAGCCTGGCTGCTGCAGGCACCCAGGGAAGAGGCTGCTCCCCATAAGCACCTCTTTCCTAGGGCACTGGGAGAAGCAGACGTAGATATTCCAGGACAGAGTTTGGAAATATAATGAATACCCACTTATGCCAGTCCCAGTGAAATACTTCTGCCCCAAGAAACAGGAGGCTGATGTCATATGATTTCACAGTCAATCTGCAGTAAATGTGTTGGTGCATCCTTGCAGCCAGACTGCGGAGCCAAACCATGTCGCAGGATGAGACAAAGGTTGGGTAAAGCTGATGGCTCTGAGCCCTAATGGTGAGGGGGACATAGAGATCAGTGACTTCACCCTGCAGGTAACAACTCCCATCTCTTACTTGGCTGATGCCCCAGAACTTTGTTTTACAGAGCACATTTGGGTCAGGTGAGCACATGGAGTGCCCACTGATTCACAGGCAAATGAACCTGCAGGGATGAAGATGGAAATGTAGCTCTGAGCTTTTCCCTTCTTCCTCAGTTAGAAAAACATATGCAGGAAGCAGCAAGTCTCTGGCACTCAGCCATCCCCAGTTGGCATCCATCAACACTGCTGTACAAATGTCCAGAGGAAAAGAAAAAGAGTTGTAAAATCTTCCCTTTCCTATTTCGGGCCCCACATTTCACCACTTGCCTCTCAGCAACCCTTTTTACTCCCATCTCCTCCTCCTTCTCATGCCTCTCAACCCCTCATGGGGTGTCCCTCTGGCCTGAAACCTGCATTCCCAAGGGATGATCCCTCCAGGAATCCAGTGCTAAGCAGCACCTGAGCTGATCCAGCAAACTGGTTCAGTTACCATCAGGGAAAATGACATTTAAATGAAATATTTATAAACCCAAGTTTAATTTAATACCAAATCCAGCTGGTACAATGGGGCTGGGGCCAGTGTGTTCCAGCTCTTTGACAGTCATATCCCATAACTGCTAGAAGAGGGTCTGGACCTTAAAGCAAACTGTTTGGAAAGTTTTAGGCATGTTACTACAAATCTAGACAGTAGGCAACTCCTCAGGAATATAGGTAGAAATATGGATATAAATATGGATATTGATACATAGGTATGGGCATAAAGGTATAGATATAGATGATATAGATGAAAATATAAATAGAAATGTATATATGCATAGGTATAGATATAGATGACAAAAAGAGACAGAGGTGTGTCTGCTTGCCCTGTGCCACCACCATCACTTATACACATACATACGTGTGTGTAGGTGTTTGTATACATTCATGCACATTTTTAAGATATCTCTATAGATACACACTTACATAGATGAAGAACCAGAAGGCCAGGGCTGGAAGTATTTTATAAGAATGTAGAAAAAAGCAGAGAAAGTAGCTGAGCATTAGCTCATAAACACATATTCATATATACCTCAGCACTGCAAGCTCTCACTACTCAAAAATCCTGAGTCAGCTCCTCAAAGTCACAGAATCATTTAAAATGCAGGCTCTTGACTAGACTATAAATTTTGACCTTTTTTTTTTTTCCTCCCAGTTTTTCAGCCTTTAGGTTGAGCATCCTTCACATGCAATCAGGAACCATGTCCCAACACCATTTATCACTGTTAGCTCAGGTGTTGTTTTTCTCTTGTGGCCACAATGTTCTTGTGTTTGCCTTGATGTCATTCACCCAAGCAGTCAATCCTTAATATCCCATTGCATCTCCTGTAAATTTATTCCTTCTCCATCACTATTCACAGCCTGGTGGGACTAGTCAAAGTCTCTGCTTGCTCTTGGAGAGGTACTTTAGACATGAGACTGGAACTGTTGACATTGATCCCAAAGCAGGGTACTGACAGATGGCTGGAGTGCAGTGCAGGGTCACAGGCATTATTTTTAAAAAATTAGGGCAATTGGATGCCCCAATACTTCTTTATCACAGGACTGGGTTCCCAGTATGGCTCAGAGTCCCTCTGGAGGCTAAATTTAAATTATGGATATGGGGCCATTTGAGAGGTTGTACCTCCAGGTACCAGATATTTAAGATACTAGAAACCAGGAAAATATGGAGCTAATATGGGAAGATAGAATTTACATGAACCAAGAGCTGAACTGAGCCAAGGGAAGTCTGAATAAGATGAAGATGCCTAGCTACAGAGGATGGAGGAGCTGAGCTGGCAAGGGGAGAGCAGTGTGTCTGCCTTCCCCAGTCCCAAAACCCTGCAATGCACGTCAGGGCTGCAGGCACAGGGGCAGAGGAGCACTGAGGGCAGGGAACAATCTGATGCTGGCTGTATGGTGCCAACAGCTTTGGGAGCAGTAGAAATGAGAAATGCATCAAGGGATGATGTTGGAGGGACCAGCAGGCACAGCCAGAAATCTGTTTACCCCAATAGGGTTTGTTTTCCCAAAGCCAACACAGAGCAAATCCACCACCATGGGACATGTTTAGGGCTCATTGTGCCCTGCCAGAGCTGTACTCTCCAGGCATCCCCCGGGCTTGCCCACCCCACCTCAACTGCAAGCTCCAATGACAGTGACTTCAGGTGGTCTCAAAGAGATTCCAAACCATTTCTATCGACCACTTCTCCCCTCCTTCCAAGGCTAGACAGGGCTTGGAGCAACATGGTCTTGTGGAAGGTGTCCTGCCCAAAGCAGGGGGTTGAAACTACTTGGTCTCTACAGACCTATCCAGCCCAAACCCTTCCATGATTCTATCATTCTCTTAAAAATGACAGAGCCAATGACAAAACCACCATGTCAAATGTGCCTGTCTCTGCTCTCCCTCTGCAGATGCTCTGTCAGCAAATGCTACAGTCCAAAACCATGAGGTAGGACTTATCAAGCAAGGCTGGGGACAAGCTCAGAGCCGAGCTCAGGTAACACAGCCAATGGCACTCCCTCCAGCACCCTCCAGCAGTGTGAAGCAGTGTGCAGGGAGCACATCCCCTGATAAATGCATCCTCCATGCAAGGGGTGAAGCCCACCCCAAGACACCCCATGTGCTGGGAAGCGACTTCCCTGCCATCAAACACTGAGCCCAGCAGAAGAAGAATCAAAATTTATAGGTTTTGAAGCCACTCTCCCAATACCCAGGGCAAAGACAGAGCTGCTGCAGCTCACACAGAGCTGCCACATAATGGTTCCTAACACCCATTATCCTGATCTGGCTGCACTGTGGGAGCAGGTGCTGGGATACCATGGAGGCTGCCAGCTGGGCAGCTCACCCCAATGCATCACACAGCCGAGACAAACCCGAGGAGAGTTTGAGAGCTGGGCCTTCAGAAGAGGATCTGGCATCACGGGACTGCAGCACTGGAGATAACAGCAGATTACTTCACTGTTTGGACATAAGCTCTTAATTAAACACTGAAATATCTGGACAGGGATGGGCGCTGCAGCAGCAGCCAGACCTCACAGCTGGCCAGCAGTACAGTCAGCACAGCTACTTAGGGACTCCATTCCCCAGAGCTCTTGTATCACTCATCTGCCCATCAAAAGGTGTTATGTGTACAGTGCCAAGGTTATCTTGAGGGTTCTCAGGGTCTCTCTTATAATGAAGGAGGTGGAGCGGATAAAGATCTCATGTACACCTTGAAAAAGTGCCTGAATCAATTCTGTTCATTTCAGGCTGCATCCAAAATATTCCCTTCATGTGGAAAGAGCACTGATGGAGCAAATAGCTCTATTCTGTCCCTGCTTCTTATTCAGACGACGAATAGTAAAGTCCAGTACTCAGCTCTAAAACTGTACAATTCCCATATGAAGCATCAGTGAAGCCCTTTGCTAGAACAATCAGTATCCTCAAATGCCTCTGTTTACCTCCTTGCATTTGCAGGTTTTATAAGCCTGGGATGAAGCCCTGCAGCCAGTGGTGAGCTACCCAAGGGCTGCAGAAGGCTTGTGCAAAGCCTTTGAAGATGCTAATCCAAACCAGAGCTGAGGGATGGAGATGCATTGCAGGGTGGCATTTTCAGGCATTTGGCTCTGCTATGCAAATACAGATCTCTCTCTTAGCTGCAAAAATCTGCAGCTAAGGAAAACTGAGCATTGGTGTTCCAACACTGGTCCAAGATTAAACAGTTTTGCTGATAGGATACAAAATTAAGAGGAGCTCATAGCAGAGTTTGTCACAAGTTTAGCCAACAAAGGCATTTATTCCTGGATGTGTTTTTGCTCCTCAAACATTTTAAGGAAACACATAAACAGGTCTCTCACAGAGAAAACTTACAGGTCAGAGTGTCCAGTGCCATATTACCTTAGTAGTGACCCATAACATAATCACAGTACAGGTCAAGGACAGAAAGCCACCTTTATTTTCTCATTGTGCCTTGCTTAAAGGCAGGGACCTCACTCCATGGATGCTCAGTGAGACACAACTTCTATTGCCCTTCTGACCCCTTTAGTCCTTCAACCTGAAATCCCTCCTGTCTCAGACAGTGAAGGCGAACTATCAAGAAAGGGTCCCCAAAAGACATCTTTCCACCCACAAAGGCTACACGGGGATGCTGACCAGTGTGATAGATCATCACCATTCTCTGATTCCCCTTGCCCTAGGACACAAGCAAGTAACAAGGACCAGGTCACCCTAAGCTCCCTCTGAGGTGGCCAAAACAAGCTGCAGGATGGGAGCTGGGAGCACTCCTCCATGGCAGCTTCAGGAACACTGACAGGACCAACCTTCGCACCCTGGGGTCCTGTGCCAGGGCCGTGCAGGTGCCACCAGGGGTGAGAGTATGGGTGATCACGCAGTGCCTGCTCATGCCCAGCCTGCTCAGGACAAGGCTGACCATTGACACTTCCACACCAGGCCCCCCTCAACCAGCCAGTTTGCCTGGCACCACCCCTGCCCCTCACACATACACCCAACCTTCCCCAAACTGTAGAGAGCAGGGAGCCCAGCCAGCCCAGCCATGGAAGGAATGTGCCAGGCAAGGGGAGAATCCTTGATGTCCACGTGTCTACAGCCTCCTTCCCCACTGAAAGCAGTACAGATGGACAAGCTTCACCGAGAAAATAAAATCCCCAAAGCAGAGCAGCTCCAGGACCTGGTCTGCTCCTTCCCAAGTCATTCCCTTCCCACAGGGAAAGAAGTAAGGGCTGGCCAGTGTGCCAAAACTGTGGCAGAAGGAAGGTGCAGGAGCCTCACGTGTCTATGCTGGGATAGCTGTCACCCAAACCTACACTGGGGCACGAGGGGAGCAACTCTGCTCCAGATCTGGCAGAAAGGTAGAAGCAGGTGGGTAGTGAAGAACAAGGCAGTGTGACCAGGCAGAAATGCCTCCTTCACGGTACAGGGTGAGGTCCCCTCCCACCCACCTACCACCCCCCTGGCAATGCTGCAACACCCCACAGCTCCCTGCCTGGGAGTGAGAGCACTGAGGAATTTGGGGGGATTAAGAGTGCAGTAATCCTCCCTGCAGGAGCCAAGCATTAACATTCCCCGGGCCAGCGTCCACCGCTGACCTACTTCTCCCAGGGGGCAGTGGCTGGGGCCCGGCGCAGAGCGCAGTCACCTGGTTTGGGCTTGGAGAAGCATCCTCCCATGGCGCCGGGCGGGACGGGCAGCGGGGGCGGGCGAGTCAGCGCGGGCACATCCTCGCATGGTACAGGAGGAGTCCCGGCTCCCGCGTCGATCCCCACCTGCGCTGGGTAGAAAAGCTCCGTGAGAGCTGGTACGGAAGGCAGGGGAAGCAAAGCCGTGCCCAGGCTGCCCGCAGCACTGCGGACACACGCTGTGGGCACCCCGAGGGACATGGGGACATCGCCGTGCTGGGAGACACCGCTAAATTCAGTTATGAAGTTTATAAATTCAGTCATCAAAGTTAATTACAAAAACCCTCATATCATTTATGGCCAGACTTTAATAACTTCCCAAAGCCCTGCCTTTGGGAATTAAAGCTTTAAGCACACAGGTCACAGCACAAATACAATGACTGAACCATAAATACATTTCAGTTGGGGGTTTTGTGTTATTATTAGGGGATTGAAAAAAGAATTCTATTCTATTGTACAGTCCTGGAAGTTCCCCTATGCCAGTTATGCTCGTACCTGAAGAAATGCCATTGGCTTAGGAACAATTAATTATTTAGAGAAAGGGGTTCTGCTATCAGACCATTTGCATCAATGTCCTTTTTTTACACTATTGAGACCTTTTTTTTTTTTAATTTTTAAAGTCAAGTTGTGTTTCTCTTATTAGCTTTGACTTGAGATGCTCTCAAATTTGGTACAGACTAAGAATTTAGATAAACCTTTCCAATTTCATTCCATGGCTGAAAACAGCAAAGAGTCATCCAACACACTGGCAATAAAATAGTATATTTCATTTGTTTTACTCAGTCATGAATTCAACTGATTTACTATGGTTTTGCCATATATTTTTCAAAAAGCCCTCTGATCTGGGCAGGAAGATAAATACAATTTCTGAATTATATTTTGAGACAGGCAAAGTAGGTTTTTCTGTAGCTTATAAAATGCCTCAAAATCTTTATAATGAGAAGAAATTAGAGAAGTGCCAGGAGAGAGATACCAAGCACCTTCTCTCCCTAGCTTAAACATCAACTCAAAATATCAGGATGTATCCCTCTCTATTTTCAGCTACATCCCTCCAAAACACAACTTCCAGCTCCTCTTCCATGCATAGCATCACCTCTGCTCATTCCCAGCTGTGTTGCAGAAGCAGCTTCAGAGCCTGAATTATGTTGAATAAGCAATCCAAGCTATAGAGGAACACAAGCCTGGTGCCCTGCCCATGGTGCAAAGCAGGCATGTGCTATTTGATACTCTGCAAAGAAAGATTATTAAATGCAGAAGGAAGAGCTCTTCTCCCAAGAGCATCCCAGGAAAGTAGCATGACAATGTTTATACAAGAGCAAATACAAAAAAAAGCTACCATTTAAGAAGGTGCATAAATGCGTGGGAAGATTTGGGAGCAGTGGGGGAAAACGGAGTGGGGATGTCACATGCAGTAGCTGGCCCTTTGCCAGAACCAGCAGAAAGAAAGGAAAAATAGCTTTGTACCAGGCAAACCAAGTCTTGGGTCATTGATGTATCAGTGACACAGGACAACAACATAGTGCGTATAATAAAATACTGCCACTGGTGCCTCAGGAGCAAGCCAAGTCCCCACTAACCCAGATCAGCTCTTTGCACTGGACTTCCTGCAACAGAAGTGGACACTGTGGCGACAAGACAGGATCATGCCCCACGCAAGTAGTGCCCTGGCACCATGCTGCATTCCCTTGGGATGCTGCACATATGGAGGACCACAGCAGGAACCCCTGGACAGGCGGTGGGTTAGATGGCAGAAGGGTAGCTCCCAAATATGCCTCACCAGAGAAGCATTCCAACTTCTCCAACCCTCCCAGAGATGCTGATGTGGGACTGGTTTCCAGCTGCTCTGGCTGGTTTTAACAAGGACTTAGGAGGATGTCAGAGTTCCTGAATGTTGGAATGTCACCCATTCATCCAAGATGTTTTTGCTTTGTTTGGACCTTAAAGATGGCAATCTGCAGCCATCCCCTCAAGCCCACTGCATATCTCCTGATTTCTTCACTGATGGTCCCTCCAGTCTTTCCAACGAACTGAGACATCTGCACCTCCCAAAGCAGGTCAGAGGGAAGTGTTTGCTATCAGAGGTGTCCCTTCTCCACTCCTAGAGTTCCCCTGGCAAAACCAAAATGGTTCTTGGTAGGATTTCAGCTGATGACATCAGAGGAGAAGCCACCTGGCTGCTCCCAGCCTCAGTCCCAGCAAGCACATGGAGATGCTTTAGAATCACCTGAGACTCAGATGGTTGCAGAAAGGCACCACCCACCCTCAGGGGACACAATAGGGCCATGTCACTGTTAGTGGCATCCAGAGGTATCGATCCAGAGCTGGATCCAGCAGGATTCATGGCCAAAACCATAAGCTCTGTTAGGAGAAGGAAATAAGGCCATATATCCAACACAATGTAGCTGAACACAGGATCACCTGTAAAACCTTGCTGGTCCTGAAGGGTGACAGCCTGACCTGAACAAGGTGTCCATGCTCAGTAAACCAGTTCATCATCTGTTCCCTGAACAAAACAACACTTTGTGGCACACAGCTGAACAGTAACACCTTCAGCATCTGCTTAGAGGGGGCAAGAAGGAGTGGGCTACCAAAATATGAGGTAACTGATGTGGTGCTGAAGAACACACTAGTCCCATCCCTAAAAACTCTAGTGTGAATGAAGACCTGGCCCCTACACCAGGCTGTCTGCAGAACTCCATCATCCTCAGAGAGCACTGCCCAAGCATACAACCAGGGACACCAGCCTGCTTCCCAACAGGAAAAACTGGAAAAATTATCTAACAGGAGAAACATGGGAAACAGTCTAGTGCTATGACCATGAGCGCTTCCCCCGCACGGCAGCAAAATATGTAAAATATGGCAACATCAAGCTTCAGTGCAAGTCAGGGGTATCAGATCAGACAGCCCACCTGGCTCAGCCTAGTGACCACTGCCCAAGCATGGCGAACAGCACCCATCTGCCACAAGCAGGCAGGAGGAGCAGGGCTGCAAGGCAGGGACACTCCAGCCCGCACTTCCCGCTGGGCTCAGAGCAGAATCCAGAGCCTGCACCACTTCTGAGCAGTGCAGTGCTGGCAGAGCTATTATTAGCACTGTGCTTCTGCTCTCTGCAGTGCCCCAGGCTCCTGTTTTAATCAAGTGCTCTGCTGTGACTCCAAAATCCTTTCCAAGAGCTAATGTGGCAACTATATAACTACACAGCTGTATTAGTACACCATAGGTATAAAAAATGTTTTTCCCCTGAGCATCAGTTTGTGTTTATTGCCCCAGTATCATTTCCTTACCTGGCACCCAGGTCCCTCCCATCCAGCTGCAGCATCTGGCAGCATCTGTCCTGCTGCTGTAAGTAATCCTGCATCGCCTGCCTAGAAATCTGGCAGAGATATGAGCACCACGTCATGCCCTGTGACATGGACATTTCCCAGAGATGTCAGTTTGCCATCCCAGCTTGCTCCAGCTGGAGACCTCTGTGGAGCACTGAACAACTGAGCAGAGATACACTTGTGCCACTGTTGAGTGCCTCAGCTGTGATTCATCTGCTGTGTGAGGGGGGCCTGCTGCACATGGGCACCAGCTGCCCCTGTGCCCTCTCCAGGCTCCTCCAGACCCCCTCACCGAGCTTCTGTCTGCACACTCACCTTTTTGTGGACATCACCCTGACCCCCATTGCCTTGGCCATACCAGCTCTGGGTGCCACCAAAGGAAGAAGAGGCGAGAGGGCTGCTTCCCATTCCCTTCCCACTTGCCCAGCACAAGTCCCCTCTCCTGGTCCCCTGGACACACAGAGGGAATTTCTCCACCTCTCAAGGCAACTCTGTCCCCTCCCCATCCCTCTGTCCCCACCTCTCAAGTCCTGGACCCAAGTTTCCTCTCCTCAGTAATGTGGGACTTCCCAGTGTCATCAAGAAGATGACTGATGTGATCTCCCAGCACCAGGGGCTAGCAGGGGGTGCCAGAGAAGGCAGGGGTTTGGTGACAACTCACCACATGCTCTCAGACAAGGGACCCTGCTCTGGGGCTGAAGCATGGAGGAGACAAAGATGCTAGAGCAGCTGCCAGCTCCTGAGGATCCTGGATATGGCTACCAGAATAATAAACACCTCTGTCCCTGGGTCTTACAATCCCAGATTCTCCAGGCTTTGCACAGCCCTGGTCCTCCCACAGCTGCATCTCCTCCTGCCCTGTCCTCCTCTTAGGACCAACCCAAGCTAGCCCTAGGTCTGCTGGGACACAGTTCAGGTTCCCAAAGCTCAGAAACATGCCCATCATTCCAAGGAAACCAAACAACAATGGGTCCTCCCATCCTGCCATCACCAATATCCAACATCCATTCTCCCAGGGAGCTCAGGATCAGGTGCTCAGCCAGCCTTTCTCCTCTCTTCATGTCCAGACACTACTGCTTGGGCTGACTTCCTCCCACAGCTGGAAATGCCTGAATGAGTCCATCAAACCAGACTACAAGGACTTTTTCTTCTCCACACAGGTGAGCTCTCTGCTTCCTCTGCAGTGCTCTGCAGCAGGATCTGGAGGAAAGCTGGGGACAACCTGGCAGAGCACCTAGAAGACCTTTGAGGAGGTTTCTGAAGAACCAATGGAATTCAGTGAACAAGTGGGACATCTAGGATCTGCTCTGTTCTCAAGGAGATGACTTCTGCCTCTTCATTGACATCACCAGTCTGCAGGAGAAGGGCTGAAAGTCCATGGAAAGCCAAGGTCCACACAAGTGAGGATGAGGAAGGTCTCTTTTCAGATACACACCAGGATCTCAAAGCAGAGGTCAACAAGAGATATGTCCCAAAGACATTCTGTCAGGATGAGGAGGAGAGCTTCACCAAGGTCCAGGGAGAACTCCTCAGTACTGGAGAACTAATGAAAACCACAAAGGAGATGTAGGCAGTGTGAGCCCTGGGATGGCTGTTTCTCAAAGAGAGTGGGATCAAAGGGCCAATGAAAGAGACATTACACCTCTCAGCAGCTTTTAATGCAGGGAGCACTAACATGGCAGCCCCAAGGCAGTTGTGGTCATGACTATGCTGGCTGGTATTCATCTCCCATCAGTGTGGCACCTCTTGCTCTGCACCTTCTGC